CGAGGGTGTGCCGCCGCTGATGAAGTTGCCAAAGTCGTGACACCGCTGCTTCGCTTGAACGCTGGAGTCATCCTCAAAATGCGGATCTTCCGACGCAACGACCAGTCGGGTGGGTCAATCGCGAGCCGTCGACTACCAATAGGACACGCTCACAAAATTAAAAACAGAAAACAGGTAACACGCCCATTGAACGGCGAACCGCGGAACGACCGGCGACGAAACGGAAAGCAACAAAAAGCGGCAATAAGTAATGACCGCAACTAAGTTTTTAAACAGCAAAATCAGGCAACGCCGCTAGCAGTGACAGAAGACGCATCTCGCCGCTGACCGCACGTGTCGTTAATAAATGACCACGCTAAGACGGTGGAGAGTCTCTTCCTCGAACGCTCAACAGATAGTATTCTTGTGAATCGTTAGACTAACCGGATTGCATACCAGTAACTTAGTGTTCATGTCCTGAACTATATTCACGCCATCACATGGCGTAAATAAAAGTTCGCCCGCCCTTTCGCCCACCTATTTTGTGCAGCAACTTGATTCGCAGGTGAACCAATTACTCGTTGTCGTGATCGTCATCGAAGACCGCCCTTCCAGCGGATGCCATTTCTAGCATCGTGTGCCTATTACCCATTAAAACACGACCTGTTGAATCTGGTCGCTACCGACACAGTCTAATTATCTAATGATCCAAAACGTAGACAAGATGTAATCTAGCCCGCAGATCGCAACTCATGAGTAGTGCTAAGCAGTCGTTACTTACTTTCATGAGCTTCTTTTGTGAAACGCCCTCTCGACTTGTCTGTCCTGAACACGAGCCGGTATTATCGTGGTTACTAATACCTCTACCCTCTGCCAAGCGGTAGTATCGTGACTCATCACAAAGGCTCAAGATTAAACAAACAAACCTTAGGCTTAAGTTTAACAACATCAGATGAAGTATTTGGTTCGTGTGCAGGCAACCGTACAGCAAACATTCGAACAACGGTTTATCGACACAACGCAAAATATCGTCGAGTCCGCCAAGGAAAGATCGAAACTTCTGCATTTCTTTTCAGCATGGACCCTATGGTGCGGCGCTGATCTCCATTCAGATACCGTTAGCTTGGAGTGCCTTATTTAAGAAAGCAGCAACCGCAACAATGTAGGAAGCACATCTTGTGGTATCCAACCTCCCACAGCAAGTGGTACTCACCTACTGAAATGAAAGGATGAAAGGCAAACTGACCAGACCAGATAAGAATCTACAAACCTTTGACCGACAGTTCTGTATTTGACTGATTGAGATACCGCCTTAATATTACTCTGCTTTAATCACTGTTGACTGCAACGCGGTATACATCATCAAGCAAGAAATAATTGGAAATTATTCGAACCCTCCCGCCCCCTCCCCTGCAAAGCCAAGTGACAGCTAAGGGGTAGGTCCAAGAGAAGATGACGAGTTTATTGAACATGTTTTTATCACGCCTCGAAATCGAGTCTTGAATCTTGCCCGTTTGGCGAAACATCAGAGCCATTGGAAAATCCTCTTTTAGCTGCTACGCCCCTACCCAAAAAGAATAGCGATGTGAAAAGAAGAACGAATGCAAAATAATCAAGCCCAACAGGGCGATGACCATCGTTTCCGCATCTGTGGTTAACGACATGAATTCGCTAAATATATATTTACTTCTTCTTGTCGCTAATCACGGAATGGGAAAAATGGCCATTATCTACTTAACGCAATTATTTTCCACTGGGTCTTTTTGTCCTGATAGGGTGGCGGGGACAGCATCCTCGAAAAGAATTTTCAGTGATCTGGATCTTCCGCCAAATGGACAAGCTCCAATGATGTAGTTCGAGGCGTGATAAAAAACAAGAGTTCAACACATTCGTCATCTCTTGGGTTTACCCCTTAGTTCTCTGTCACTTGGCTATGTGAAGGGAGTAAACATCTTGCTGATGTGGTAAACAATCCGCAAGATTAATCATACTTAATCATCTTCCCATGAGTACTTCTTGAAAAACATGCGGAACCGGACATACCTGATGCAATTGTTCTCCACCATTCACAAGTACAGATAAGGTACATGATACAAAGTGCCTGGTTTACGATTGATGTGCAGTCGATAGCAACGCTGTCTGCTATGTAAAAGACATTTACTTATTCGTGTCGCTAGCCAAAGAATCAGAAAAGATTATCATACTCAGTCGTCCACTACACAGCGTAGATTTTAAAGCTGTCGAAATTATTCAACTTAAATACAGTATCTCGGTCAGTCAGTCAGTTTCGATGACCGCTCATCCTTTCGGATCGCGGAGGCAGACGCGTCAGAGAGTGTTTCCAACGTTCCCCTCCCCATCCGTTTCGTCCCAACGTTTGGGCTTTGACAGAAAAAATAACCCGACTTTAGAGCAGGTCCTTCGAGACAATCACTCCAGTTCATTCTTAGTTGCCCCCGGGGTCTTCGGCCGGCAAGCATAGCAGTTTCGCCTTCCTTTATGAACGCATTCGCAACACAAGATCTCAAACCGT